AATTTTCATCTGCATTATTTTGTGTGTTTCACAATATATCTTTACTTCTTCGATATTTGTAAATCAATTTTCATTATTCTTTTTTTTGAATTTTATAGCTTTAACAATAATTTTGTCGTAGTGATATTTAATTTTTGATTTAATATTTTACTAAAAGGTATCATACAAATTATTTTGTAAAGGCAGGTGGAATAAATTGTAAAGAAGTAAGAATTTATTACTTGTACGATATGGTAGTATGATTTTAAAACAAGTTTGTTGTTTATACTGGTGACAAGAAAGCTGGCTTGTTTTTCTCCCAAGAATCGACATTTTCATTCAGCGGGAGTATGTATTCCACGCGGGATTGTCGCAATTGTTGTATATTTGTTTTATATATATCATTCAGTTGTTTTATAATTTTAATGTATTTTCTTTTCTTTTAAATAACGTTGATATTCCAGAAATATGAATATATGAAAGAAGTAATTAAATAATTAGCTTGAAAATATCGCTAGTTCATATCACACAGTTTAATATTATGTTTATAAACGTATAGGAAAATAAATTCATTGGTTCGTTTCACTTTTGACTTCGTTCGTATTTAAAGGCAAATCGTTCTTTGGTACATTATTAGGGTCACGAATCTTTACGACCTACATGAAATCGCTTTACTAAATAAAATGTAGCATTCTACTTATATGTACAAATAGCTGTAAGGGAATATTTTGGTAAGATTTCAATACATAACCTAAAACAAAATCAGTGAATGGCTTTTTTCCATAACGAATAACCGTAGTTTGTTAAGACTTTTACTGATGAAGTTATATATTGAGCAGTAGGCTAAACTATATACTAGTTTTTACCCGACTGCGTCAGTAGAAGGTTTATGGTTTTCGAGTGTGACTGTTTTTTTAATAAATGGCTTACAAAAGTATATCCAACTTATATTTTTAAATGTTATTTGGAATGAGAAAAGCTAAAAAAAAAAATACTTCCAAAAATAAAACTCCCGACTGATTCAAATAATAAAAAAAAACTCTTTATATATACCTAAAAACATTAACATATAATGAAACAGAAAATTTGATAAAAACTGAATTAAAAAAAAATAACAAAGGATATAATATGTATGATTTTCTTTTTTTTTCTTTACTTATTTTTGGTTAGGCGTTTAATATAGTCAATAATATAATCGAACATTATTACGAGATTTTTACTGTTTTATATATTTAATTACCATACACATACATTATATTATATAACAATTGTATATATACGTACATACATAACCAAACATTCATACATATTATGTTCATACAAACATACATACATACATTTAAAAAAAAGTTTTATAAATGTTAATTACTAGTTGAAGCTATATCTAAATATTTGCCGATACCGTAATAAGCGAGTGGACATGCGTCATACAGTTAAACTATTACGGAGGGTAGTGTTTACTTAAACATTGTTAGCTTGACTTTTAAATACAAAAAAAAAGAAATAAGGCATATTAAGCTTATTACAATCATATATTTATAGAATGTAATTTATGGACAGAATATAATACTATATATAATAATTTGTCAGACAATAAGGACGGTTACCATAGCAACAAACAGTTATCAGCTAACTTCAATATGTCGCTTTCAGCTAACTTCATCATGACGATTTTTGGCTGTCGGTGTGCGCGCGCGTCGTTAAAATTTTACTCTCATATATTTTTCCCAACGTGCTAAAAGAAGTATAATTTCAAAAATTGTACAACTGTATTAATTAATGGGACTGTTTTATTTATTGAGTCCATTATTGCATATAAAATAATATCTTAATTGGGAAAGTTCCGACTAAGCTTATTAATAGTGTTGATCCAGTGATAGCACTTTAATCAATATAATCAAGCATGTTTATTTCTATTTAGACGTGTTTGAATAGCTTATGGACGTTTTCATTAAGCTTGCCAAAATTAAAGGGCTTTCTATTGAAAGTGTAAATGTGAACCTCACAGCGGCAGACAACCAGAGCCAATATTTGTTCATGATTTAGAATACTTTCATAATTTCATAAAACAATATTTGTATAGAGTTCCGTATTATTTTTAAATTTCAATTTTATTGAATTCTCTATATTTAATGAAGATAACCTATTTATTGTCTATAATTGTTATTAACTAGCGACTGACCCTCGCTTCGCTAGGGTTGATTCCCAATACATACTTTGATCCCCATTTTTACCCCCTTAAAAGATGGTTTCCGGGATAAAAAGTATCCTACGTCCTTTTCAGCATCTCAATCAATCTTCCTACCAAATTTCATCTAAATCAGTAGATCCAGAGATAACCCCCGACAATCTCACAAACTCACAAGCTCACAAACTTTACCTCTTTATAATATAAATATAGATTAACAATAATATGACAATGTTTTTTTTGTTTTTAATTAAAATGATTTTATTTAATATTCACATATTAATGATAGGTCTTAAAAATGTCGAACTTGTGAATATTTTTTTTCTTTTTTTAAACAAACACAGATAACAGTAGATTTTTTTCCAAAGTGCAGACAATTCTTGAGAATTATGAAGTCACAAAATCCAGCCATAACTTAAAAATTTCAAGTGGAATAGATAACTTGTAATCTAAAAAAAAATATAAAACTAACTAAAAAGATTTTGGGGAAGTTCATATCTGTCTATGAAAAAATAAAATTTTTCGTAAGATTAATAATTTATGTATAGAGAGTAAACAGAAAAGTCCAACTAAGCCGAGATAAATGTTGATAATAAAACAGAGATTTTTAAGAAGTTGATTGTCGTAATTTTTTATTTATGAAAGTGTGGGTAGAATAATATTTTCACAAGCGCTTTTAATACAAATTTATTACTGCTTCTTTAGCATTATCTATGGCAAAGATTTTTTTAGTTTTTATACTTAAACTATAAGTAGTTTTGTATGTTCGAATTTAATTATAGAAACAAAATATTTTTTTTATATTTTATTTATTTTAATTTATTTGATGTGTAAAATATTAAGTTTAATTTATTTTTTAATTTTTATGCTGATAAGTAACATTGTGGAGGAATTAGATATCATATTTATTATTTTATATTTATAATGTCATTATGTTTTGTAAGTATTTGCACTATTATTCTGTAGTCAAACTCTATTTGGCCTCATATTAAGAAATAGGACCGTTTGACAACAAAGAATATTTCGAGTTGATTAATCATTTTTCCGTGCAAAATGTATGGGAAAAGTTTTTGGCGATTTCTGTCATTTCTAGTACTCATTCGTTAAATGGTCTTTGGTGTGGTGGTGGCGATGAAGATGTTGATTAATCGGTGTTCGATGAATTAAGTGACCGAGAATAGTCTATGTCGTACAAAAGAAAAAAAAACGCTCAACACAAGCACAGTTCAATCGAGTATATTTACTTTATAACATTTTCTTAACACCTCCAGGTAAATTTCTAAGAATTAAAATTCTAAGAAATCTATTGTTAACTGTAACACCGGCGTGTCCGTGGTCGTTGAGGGGTTAATATAAACAGTCCACCAAAAAGTCCATAAGATAAGAACAACTTCATATAATCGTAGAAGAAGTTACATCTTAATATAATCGTAGACGCAACAAGTAAGCAGGGAAAATAAGACGTAATCACAAGAGTGTAAGTCCAGTTTCGAATGCACTGAATCGTAAGCAAGCGGAACGTAAGTTGCGAGCGTATGGCGTAGGTGCGAGAGTCCGAGAGACCGACTGGCGCCAGCGCAGACGCGGGCGCGGGCTAGCGAGCTCGGGCGCGGGCGCAGGGTTGATACTTGCACGCGCGCAACTGGTGTAAATAGAGTCCCTACATGAATTGGAACGATTGACATTTTTTTTGTATTTTAGCATTTTTTTCGCTAACTGTACATTTTTTCCATAATCTGTGAGTGCAGTTAAGAATATCTCAAAAAAGTTATGGATGGTCTCCTAGGAACGTTTTCCTGTACTTATATCAGTTAAGGTATCTGTCCTTAATGTCCCGTCTCAGAAATCCATCCTGTATATTTATAATTATAGACATTTTAAACAAATCAAACTAGAATATTAGTACCATATAAGCTTATATTTAACAAAGTAAATATCATATTAAATTACGGATCCCCAATTCAGCACCAACTAACTACCCACCGTGTTCATTAAATTACTTTCATAATGAATAAATGTATGACACGGGGGATACCTTTCTCTCCTCTTTTTTTTATTATAACCCGGAGAAAATGTGTTATGCATTATTTTTATCTAGACGATAATAAATTTTATTCCAGCGTCTCTTTCTCAATTTATTTTAAATGTAAATGTCGTGACCCAGAGACTGTCATTTACTTGAAAACTCTATAATAAAATTTAAGATTGATATATTTAAGCTTTATTTTTTTACTTTCTTGGATTTTTATAATTTACTAGCGTGACCGCGGTTCTGCTCGCGTGGGCTACCACTTTTAAATGTACAAACTTTTCAGCTTTATATATAATGTACATATTGTTGGCCAAAATTATTTGACTATACATAAATAGTAGTTAGCTATCTATATAAATATATAAAAGGCAAAAGTGATTGACTGACGTATCAACGCATTGGCCAAATCATTAGGGCTAGAAACTTAAAATTTCGCATACGTTTATTACTTGGACACATTTGCATGAAATTTCGTATGAATTGAGTACGGCAAAAATAATGAGTTAGTTATTTCAGCGTTTTCCAAAATTCAATCCCTAAGAGGGTAAAATAGGTCATGAAAGTATTTAAATCTGCCTTTTTAGAGTTTTTTGTAGTTTTAGCGAGAGCAAAGCCGCAGATTCTGCTAGTATGTGATAATAGGGAACATGAGTAGTATAAGGTTTTTAAATGATTTTAAAGAAAATAATATATGTATGTATTATATTTCTAGTGTCAACAGTAGATGTGGACGCAGTCCTCGGGCGGACTGCCTCACTGCCTTGTGACGTTACTCCAGACACAAACGAAGATCGGGTGTACATGGTACTTTGGTTTCGAAAGAGTGGAGGCAAGCCTATATTCAGGTGAGAATATATTGTTTTTTATACAGTGTTTTCTAGTTATGTTTTCCTACTCTTATACGATGAAAAATATAATAAAATATACTATTTTTTTTATGTATCGTAATGACACTGATATTAAAAATGCAGAAATTCGTGTGTATGTCTGTATGTGCGTATTTCGATGAAATACGTACATACGTTGGACGGATTTCAATGATTCAATGTCAACAAGATAGGCTTCTGTGTGCTATAATACCTATTTGCTAAAAGGCTCTACGGGTGTATAAAATTATAAATAAAAAAAATCATCTAGGATCACACCGCAGTAAAGTGAGGGTAAGTCACGAGTAAAATATTATAAAGAAGTATATTAAACATTTCAATACTGTTGCCGTTCTGTAAGAATCTAAGTGACGAAAATGTAAATATTCCGAAGAACTCAATTTGTTTACACAATGAAATTTTCACGTAGTATAAGTAAACAATTAAGCTTGTTAAGGCGGCGCTAATCAACCGTTGGCGTCACCTTAAACGGATAAACGGAAGCCGAGTACAGTCGATCCAATTAGCGTTCAGAAAATACACTTACACCGAAACCCACTTAAGACGTTTCACGCGAGTTCGTTAACGATCACACTTGATTTGCGGGGTTCACAACCTTTTATTGTCCTCAAGTTTCCGAGAGGGCAGCGCCATTCAATCGTAAACATCAAATTAGCCCTTGAAAGCACTTACGAGTTCCATTAGCCTGTGCTGTAAAAAAATCTTTATCTTTTGTTAGAGGCTGAAAATGTTTACGATCCAGGAAAGGCCTCTAAGATTCTATTGAAACAACCTAATAATTTCCTATGTAATTTTGAGTGGTCTTTATACTGATTTGATTAATTATTCTATTTTCATTTTCATCATGATTATCATTTTCTAATAAGGAAAATATTCTGAGAAAATCTGCATGTTTGAGAGTAACTAATTTTCAAAAGAACTGTAAATCTTTAAGCTCAGAAGCACCAATTGAAATTTAGCTGACGTAGTAGTATTGTATAATAAGGCTATGACTTAATCCTTCTCGCATCGAGGCCCGTCAACAGGAATAAGATGATAAAAAATTGGCTGACCTTATTGATAGAGTAACTATCTATTACTATTAACTCCATAAATAATATTATTTTTATTAGTCCGGCTATTTATTATTAAAAATAAAAACATTTTTTTTACATTTTTAATCTTAAATAATATAAAGCAACTTCGACTTTGGGGGTTCTGGGTTTCAAATTAAAAAAAAAAACCTGACGACAAAGCTAAGGCGGGAGCTATGCTACGCTTCGCTACGTTGACCAAGTAGAGTCTGTCACATAATCAAAAATTAAAATTTACAAATAAATTTTAATTAATTTTTATATTTTGTGTGATTATTAGTAAATAAAATGTATGACATATAGCATTAGAGAAATATTACTTTAATCTACAATACTCATAATATGTATATTGTATTTAGTCTATACTAATATTATAAAGAGGTAAAGTTTGTGATCTTGTGAGTTTGTGAGTTTGTGACGTTGTAGGGGGTAATCTCTGGATCTATTGAACCGATTTTCAAAATCCTTTTACCGATAGAAAGCCACGTTATTTCTGAGTGTCATAGGCTATATATTAACCCGAAGAATGAAAAGGCTTTTTTGTGGTAGTCGGATTTGCAAAGTCGGAGAAAAAACGGTCGAACGAAAACGTTTCTTACGAACGCTGCCTTAACGATGAGAGATATATAATTATATTCTAGAGAAAAGTTGTAGAGCTTAATAATGCCTACAAAAAAGTCAGCGACAGCATATGTCTAACTTTTATATTTAAGTCACAAAAAGTAGTTTTTTATATTAAAATAATAATTTAAATCGGTAGGTCATGTTTATTGGTCATATTATCAACAATTATGGATTCTTATCAAAAAGAAATAAATTTACCGTCTGAAATGTTTAAAGCAAAAAACTTTTCCCTTTTACTGCATATAATTTGGACAAATGGTTAAAGAGATAATATAACATATTCGTAGGTATGGACGAACCCGAGCGAGCTGTTTGTCTGTTTTCCTGTTTGTACGGGCTAATCTCCGAATCTATTGGACCGATTTAAATGAAATTTTGTATGGTGGTATCTTATACCCCGGGTAACATTTTAAATACTTTTCATCTCGGAAAATTAAAGAGTTCCCGTGGGATAGTTAAAAAACTATAACAACTTATACAGCTTAGTACACAACAAATTATGCACCTAATTTAGTAAAAATTGGCATGCTGATACCTTATATTGCTGGTCAAACAACAGGTTACTTTTCATCCCGGAAAAATGAACGGTTCCCGTGGGCTAGATCTGTTTGTGCTTTTCTAGAGGCGAACCCGAGCGAAGCGAGGGTGAGCCGCTAGTAAGAAATATAAACAAAATATTATGAAGATTTAAACTGCCTTCTTCAAATAAAAATAATTTTAGCATCGCGATAAATAAAATGAATAGCATAGCACTTAAATTTTGACCCTTGTACCCTTCATTAAATTAATATTAATTGTAAAGGCCGTAATAATAAATTTAATTGAATCATTATTGTAATACGAATCCGCATTAAATATTTAACTTTTATATAGCTTTATTAATAACAGATTGAAACCATAAAATATAGATAATAATATCTAAAAAGATATAAAAATGAAGTCAGTAAATATTAAGTTATTTTTAAATATTACGCTCGTGCCATTTCAAATTTATTTACTGAGTAAATGAAATTTAATCACCGTTTTACTTTCTTACGGGACCGATTACGTAGATTCGCAATTATAAGTATCTGAGCGACAATAACCGAGACTGAAATGAACATTTTGTGGGGATAATGCTATCATAAAAAGCCTACTTAAATTGTTAAATTTACCTGCGAACAGCAGGGTGTACAATCAAATCATCTCTCAAAGCTTCTTGCTGTATAAATTAGGATAAAAGTCGGAAAATGGAGAAACGTACCCTGTCCGGAAATTGAAAAACTTCAGCGACGCTTCCTTATTTTATTCTAGAATTTGACAGGATTTTGCCGGGAAATAAATTTAGGAGCGGACCATGTGGCAATTTACTCACCTTTATTAAACTGGAATGGCCATCGTGATTGTTTTGTTCGTAATCTTTTCATGAAGATTTTTGCCATAACTTTGTTGCTTTTTTCGGGGCTATTAATTTTTTTGGGGACTACAAAAGATTTATATTGAATGATGTTAGTTAAAATATATAATTTTATTTGCAAAGTATTTTCAAATCGAATAAACCGATGATAATTTTGGTCTACGCTAACATACTTGTTACATTGTTGCGTGTTATTTCTTTCGCACCGCGTGAAAATTTTATACGTCCCTCTAGAACAATATATTTCCACTATCACTTTATCATAGACTTTAATAAATTGCTTTCGCGGAATATTGAAAAGTAATACACAATAGTGTTATCGGTAAAATATACAAACTTTATCCGTTAGTAAAACTTAATATTCATTTATCCTATTTGATTGTTATATTAAGATTTGTGCCGAAACAAATATTGTTAATCAAAATTTAGATCAAGTGGAAATTTAACAAGCAATTTTCATAACTGTTAGGCTTTCTTTTTGCTTCAATTGGCAAGTTGATATAAACGCAAAATTTTGTACTTCTATGTATGTTTGTTCTTCATTCTCGCTGAGACGGCTAAATGGATTTGTATGTTAGTAAACAGATAGACTATGATCTAGACTCCTAGAGTAAGATACTAATATTAGGACACCCGAGCGAAGCAAGGATAAATCACAAGCTGATTATAGCTTTTTCCTCTAAAAACCTATAATTACTTTTGACGACGACACGTTTGGCTCAGTTTGTGGTGACCCTACTTGCTGCGCCAGCGGTCGCGGGTTCGAGTCCCGCTGGGGGCATTAATTTGTGTGCTGAGCACGAATGTTTGTACTCCAGTCATGGGTGTTATATTTATAATATGTATGTATTTAAAAGTTATATATGTATAATGTATCAACTATCTGGTATCCATAACACAGGCCTCGTAGCTTATCATGGAACTAGATGGTGTTGTGTGTTAATGTCCTGACATATTTATTTTTATTTTATTTAACTTTTAACTTTAATGGTACTAGGTGTACCTTTAAAAATATTTTCTTTACCAATATTTGACATTATTTTAATTATACTCGTACATATTATTTGTTAACAGTTTCGATGTACGAGGGAGGTCATTTGACAAAGCCTTACAATGGTCAGAGCCAGGAGCTTTTGGTCCTAGAGCGCGATTTGCAACAGTTGCCCGACCCGCTTCACTCACACTGACTTCTGTACAACTGGATGACGAAGGGATTTACAGATGTCGGGTGGACTTCAAAAATTCACCTACAAGAAATTTTCAGATAAGGCTCGTAGTGATTGGTGAGTATTTTTACAAATTTACAACTGACCATTTATAGCAAATACATATTGAAAATAAGCTTTAACCGATTACATATTTATTTTACATTCATTATAATATTTGAATATAATTTTTAAAAATCAATAATTTTACCTAAAGAAGTGTTTATTTTTCTTCGAAATTAAATCATTGCCATTGATGATTAATAAATAAAACTATAAAAATGTCTAGGATGAAAATTTTACAAGATGCCGATAGGGATTCAATTTAATCATTACGAACGGACGCGGGAGCATCGCGGGTGGATAATGACGTCCCGCGGACATTTTAATTATGAACTGTCGACGTTCAGACCACGTTAATAAAAACGGGAGAGATGACGCAGATAAAATCTGCCTGCGACAGGTCGGATTTAATAGGAAATTAGATTTGAATTGATAAAAAATAACTTTTTCGTACTGAGTATGCTTAAAATGAACATCCGCCCTGATTGAACCCTTTAGTTTTTATATGGGAAAAAGTAAAATTTTATAAAATTATTGAAATTATTCACATCACTAAAGTAAAATATGGTTTTTCCATAACAAAATAATATTTATACATGATAACAAATACACTCTGTTGAATTAAATGATCTTATTATAAATAAAAAGCTATGTCTATATAATAAGCAGTAAAATACTGCTATGCCAATATACGTTCCTCAGGACACGTATCAAAACAATAATCACATACAAGCTTTAAATGCAGAGCAAACTACGTGGCCTTTCAAAGAAATTACCCTATTCAAAGCTACGACAGACGCGCAAAGAGACGAGGGAAGTAAATTTCTTTTACACAGAACAAAGCATTTAAAGTAAGCCTACATACCACATTTGCTCGTTCAAATCCATTAGACAACTTATGCCAAGAGGCAATTTACTTTGAATCTTTTGTTACCAAAGGGTTCGCTCTCACGGAGAATTCATCTGTAATCAGGTGTGCTAACACCATCATAAATCAAATTACATTTTATAACGTGCAGATCTCGCTTATAAATGGATATAATCGAAAACCTATTGTTCAATGGGTTTATCGATTATGCAATCGTGATTTTTCCTCGTTCTTGTTTTTTTTAATGTATTGCCTTTATTTTCATTGATGACATGATGTCTTAAATTATTTTGATATATATTTATATTTCTATTAGCTAATTTGGCATTTAACGATTACACTGGCACGCGTGAAGCACTTAATTGAGTAATCATATGCCAAACTGCCTTACATCATTTTGGAAAAGAGATGATACTCTTACACTGCTGGACCGATATTAACCAAACATAGCTAAGAACCACCGCATGAAAATTGGCATTCAAATGAAAAAAAACCGCATCGAAATCTGTCTAACCGTTTGTGAGCTACGATGCCATAGATAGACACACACACACAGACAGACAGACATCGACGTCAAACTTATAACATCCCTCTTTTTGCGTCGGGGGTTAAAATATAAACACGTGAAATATGTTCTATATAAATACAAAAAAAGTCATCAGTAAGAAACATAATGACAATATGAGGCGTAAAATGATAATTTGATATAATAATGTAGAAGACAATGTAATATCTTATAATCCGGTAAGCCGATCAACGGCATTAAGTACGCCGGTGAAATAATAAGAAAATTCTTTATCTGCCTCGGCAACATTCCCTCTCTGTTTTCTTTAGGTTAAGTCTGTTTATATTGGAAGTATGAGAAAAAGTTTCTGTCTAACCGTGATAGATAAGTTATGTACGTACAATTTTTAATAAAACGCTAATGTTTAGACTGTCCTGTTGCTCTAAAGATCTTTAGGTTCTGGGTTCGAGTCCTACGTCGAGCCAAATAGAGTTATTTGGTTTTTTGCCAAGTATTCAGAAGTTGAGAAATTGGCGCATTTAAGCCCTCATGCACTGGGAATGCACGTGAAGTCATTTTAGCGCCTAAAGTCAGCCAACTCATTCTCACTGGTCGTGTCAAATTGCCTTCAAAATCAGCCTTTGTAAGTGGAGGAAATAAAGAGACATACACACTTGTGATGTAAAATAGTGTAACTGAACTGAAAAAAAAAACATAGTATAGTGTATAATCATAGTACAGTGTTTTATCATCATAGTATGAACGAGTATTTCTATGGCTCTGTCTACACAGAGATGGAAAGTTCGAATCCCGCTACGAGTATGTTTTTGTATTGGCTACATATTGGCCATTAGTTAAAAACTAAGATATTGTGATATCTTAATGTGAATTAAGAAGCCATTATGATATGATTAATATTTTTGTATTTACCTGTTTCAGTATATAAATTATAATTATTAATTTATGTATTAAAAAAATATTAGTTTACCTTTTATTAAAGAAATGTGTCACGTTTTAAGTAAATTTTGCAGTCGATAATATCCCACGGGACTTATTTTATGTAACAGGATAAATAGATGCCCGTCTTAAAAAAAATCATCAAACGTCGTACAAACGAGTATTTGACATGACAACTAATTTTATATGTTAAAAGAAAACTTTTAAGTATAACTTGTAATGACTTTATATAAAAGATTATATTTTCATTTTAGTGCCACCACATCAAATGTTACTGTATGATAAGTCGGGAGCTGACGTGTCTGGCATCGTCGGCCCTTTGGAAGAGGGCTCCGCTTTGGTACTCGTTTGTGAAGTACGCGGAGGTAAGTGTTTACATTTATTATTATTTTTTATTAATTTTATATAAATATTAGAGCTTTATTTGGTCATTAAATAATTTTATCAAATAAAAAATATACATAGGTATATAGCAATTGAGCTATTTTAATTCAAATTAATGACTTGTTCATGTTATACTTTATAAGTAGCTTTTATGTGATGATTGAAAAGCCTTTTAGTTTATTTTAAAAATATTATTTTCTATAAAAATCTACTGATGATGTCATAATAGTGCATTGAATTTATTTTATACTTTATGATAAGCGATAATAAATCCTAGAGATATTTTCGGAATAGAGCCAATAGATTTAATGGTAATTTAAATACTGTTGAAGTAAAATGATATACCTTATTCAAAACACTTGAAAAATTATTAAAGATGAGATGAATTCTCCTCCTTGTTGTTTGTTTCTTAGAGGTGATTTTTTTCTTCTAAATCAGACCAATTTTGACCTCGGCTTGTTCTTATAATAAAATCGTCAAAATTGTCTCACAGTTAGTGAAAATTTCATTAAATCAAATATGATATTACATTATACACATTGAGTACCATATTTTTGAAGTCGGCCAAAAACAACTAATCACGTAGTTAGCACGTTATATAAGACACTAGCATTGCCCGCGGCTCCGCTCTCGTTCAGATGACCAAAAACCAAATTCTTAGGTTTTACATATTAGTATACTCTTACATTGCAGTTTTTGTATTTTTTCTTAAAAATGAGATATTTTCCCGCCGTAAAAAGTATCCTATATGTTGACCCGGATAACCAGCTATCACTATACCAAATTTCATCAAAATCCCTCCAGTGGTTTTTCTGTGATGCGGTAACAGACAGACAGACAGACAGACAGACAGACAAACATTCTAAAAACCGTAGATTTGGCCTATGTATCGATAATAATCGTTATTTCAATAAGATTTTCAAAAAAATATTTAATGTACAGATTCTGCTTAGTTACAATTTCATTATATGTTTTTATTTCATTAGATACAGAATTCTCACAGTTACGAAGCATAACAGGATTTATAATTTTGCACGGTTATTATACAATGTTATTTACATCAAATCATCAGAGTAAATCCAACTCTGAATATTGCCTAGACCACACATTGTATTGTAATCGAAATACACAGTATTATTCGTCAAATTTTCGTTATTTTTGCGTTTCATAAACAATGTTCATCAATACATCCATCACGGTGTTCACGACTTGTGATAGAAAATGCAATGTACATCTATCATTAGCGACATGGAATAGGATAACCAAGTCTAGGTTTTAACTTCTGTGTTTAGATCGCGTTTTCGATTATATTAGAATGCTTAATTGAATTGACATTAACTTTTCTAATTATATGTAAAGCATGCTATAAGCAATTGAATACTTACAAGTATGAAAATTCGCACTGGCTTTTGGACAAAGTAAAATCGTGATCATGATTTTTTGTGCAGGCGTATTAATCCTCGTATAATGAAGTATATTTAATAATGTTAATTAAATAAAAGATAATTTCACTGGCTCAGCACTATATTTGTTTTTTAAAGCGTACAATTTAATACTAGAATATGATGATAAATTCTGTTCTTCCGTAAAATATTTATCAAAAAGATTTCATATTTCCGAACAAAAAATAATTTAAACTACGATAATGCATTTGGCACGTCTCCGCTCGCTAACTGAAATTACCACTCTTCGATTTTTCTATTGCTTGACTCTTTTATGGAAACATTGGGAGAGATATTCCGTTCCAATGGGTTCATTGAAAAGTCCGCAGTAGGGGCGGCTGGCGGTACGCCAGTACAGTGGACAACTTACAAAAGAATACAATTGCGTTCAATTTTGGGCCTTATCGATGAAGATACAAGGACTACTAGTGTATCGTGCTTAAGGTCTATTGTACCTGCACGGATTATCTTTGCCTGTGTGCTCAATTGCGATGATGCAGCGAGGCAGGCTCCGGGTCAATATTATAACAATTGGCAGTATTTATGTGTGGATTATTTGGTATCTGCCAATTAGTGGTGTTCGATTTTACCAGGTGTTCCTACATGTTAAAAGTGCTTAAAATTTGTTTTAACATCTGTGCTTTAATAATTATTTGCTTTTTTTATATAAACTTGTGAAAATTTTAACTCTTTTTATTTGGAATGTAACAGTATGAACAATATGCTGTAAAGTGTAAAATGGGTGTTACTGCAATTCTTTATTTGTCTCGTAGTAAAATAAGTTTTATAATAATAGTTTCAACGTGAACATACTTGTGAAAACTTTCAAGACATTTTCATTAAATAGTACGCCTTATGACTAAAGTCTTTGCCTACCTGGACTTCTGCCAGACTTTAATGGTGACTTCCTCATAATAAGTGCTTTAACTGCGAACCACATCGCGATATGTGGAAAAAATCTTATCAAACACTACTTAGCAAAATATATCTTTGAAGTTAGATAAGAAAAGATAAAACTTATATGTAAAGGGAAATCTTGATGTAGGTAATGTTTTTAAGTACCTACCAATTACTTAATTTTTGAGTATCTCTATACTTTGTATGTATATTTTTAATATAACTAAAATAAAAAGGGGTATTTAAAATTCAAAAGAATTATCACATTAAAAATGTCATCGTAAATAATAATAATAATTTAAAACATGATGATGTGGGTAGGCACTGTCTTTAACAAGTATATAACGCCTTTGAGTCATCTTACACCTCAGTCTCTCTCGTGACCATGATTGCTGTAAAGCATTCGAAACGTCGGGAACCAAAAATCAAAACAAATCCGCGAAATAATTCGAAAAGATAGTTTTATTTAAAATACGAGATTTATACTATTCAATGATGAATATAAATATGTACACTAATAAAATTTTATACACCCTTATCAATTTTCTAAGAAAAATAATATAGCTGATATCTTATGTCAGTACTTTTGGAGCTTACTCTTCCTATTTCAGATAGAGACCGAGGTTTTGTCATTGGTATGATTTAAGACATTGTCTCTCACTTTTTAGCTTTAGAGATTCGTATGTTACAATAAGTATTTACAAAAGAATATTTTTTAGTTATAATTTAAAAAAAATATTAGCTAAGGTATGAACACTTTTAACTTTCATATGTGCTGATTTTCTTATTCACTGATATTTTAAGTATATAAATACTTTTTATCTAAATCTACATAGTTGGTAGTATATAACTTTAGTTGATAGCACTTAGGGAATAATCTATTAATTAAAAAAAAACATTTGACAGTCGAAGAAGATATCCATTTTTTTTTAACGTCGGGAAATGCATTTACGCACGAGGTGTGGGACTCACCGGCAAAGCCAGTACTACCCACTAAAACCCAACAAAGCCTTTCCCCGTCTTAATGGGGCGTCGCAGGATCGCTTACGCATTCAACTACGATGCCCTGACGGCAGGTCTGCCGAAGCAGACCACAACAACCACGGGGTTGCTCCAAGGTCCACTCTGCTATCAGAGAAATACCAGGAGCAACCCGCATGGTTCACCGCCCTCCGAAGAGGGCCATGCGTTTCTTGGCTTCGCGCCCGGCTGTATTGCCGGGCACTACTGAGCCCCCCCACCACGACAAGGTGAACGCACGTTGGGGGGGGAGACGAAGATATCCAGGCGTAACACATAAAGAAACAAATTCAATACTTTTTTCAGAAGTCGGTCAAAAATGCTCTATAAAGAAGGCTAAAAAAATATATTAAATAAAAAAATAGATCTGTCTGTGATTATGAAATAAATTCAACAGCAACGTGTACTTTTGTGTATAATATTTGGCTCCAACTTAGTCAAGTCGCCTACCCGGTGTTATTATTTTCTACTTCCGAGACTACGTATTTCCGAGTCACTTGGAACTTTTCAAACTATAGCTATAGAAGTATTAAGGGTTAGGTATATAAAGCTTATATTAGCATTCAACCAGATCTATTTACCAAGTTAGTTGAATGGTTAGTTGAAAAATATTATAATCATAATATCATATTTACTACACCCGAGATCGTTAGTTCGATTCTCGCACAGAGTAAGTATGGTTGTAATAATTTTTTTTAAATTACAATTACTACAATTATATATTTTCTCTGTCCATAAATTACACGTAATAAGAGCACTATAGAGTGCGCAAATTTGATATTTTAAATAAAACTATCTTTTCGAATTATTTCACGGATATTTTTTATCTTTTTTTTTTCAAAAATCAAAATAAATTCGCGAAAAATCTTAAAAGATAGTTTTATTTAAAACACTATATAGAGATATTTATATAGAGATATTATTTTTAGGTCGGCCAGTACCAGTAGTGTCATGGTTAATAGATGGCACGCCAGCTCCCCAGTACATAGGAGAGAAGACTGACACTCACGTGGTTGTGAACCGACTAGAGCTTCAACATGTAAGAAGAGAGGATCTCAATAAAACATTTAAGTGTCGTGCTGCGAATACTCATCTCGTACCGCCCCAAGAGAAAACTGTGAGACTAGAAATGAATCGTAAGTGTTGGTGTCGATTGTCGAAGTTTCTTTCTTTTCGGGTTTTTGGAGATGCTTTTGTTTAGTTTTATAAGTATTATATTATTATCACATGGTGTGGGTGAGCGCATGTTTGTTAACACCACCCAAAGAACGAATTTGCTTGAAATTTACTACACAGACTATGAAGTAATTCAAATATGTAATTTGAGGGGCAGCTATAATCTGATTATTAAATGAAACTTTTGTAAAGTTTTTTTTACATTATATTTTACTTTAGCGATTTAAAATTTATCGTTCTTTGGTAAGAATTTGACCTTTAGCTTTTTCATACATAAGAAAAAGATACCATATATAAATACTAACTAATGTATTACTTACTATATCCATATTAATGTAAATCAGCCCTTTTTAACGTCCCACTACTGAGCACGGGCCTCCATTCAATATGAGGGGGAGCAGGCCATAGTCAGGGTTGGCGGACTGCACATGTCTTTCGAAAATTTGCTGGATTCTTTCAGACATGCACGTTTCTTCACGGTGTTGACAATGATTCGCACATGGGAATATCAGAGATGCGAGACCCGGGATTTGAACCCCCTTCACTCGGTTTCCCAAGCGAGCGCGTTACCAGTGGGCTACCACTGCCTGGCTCCGTACTAATATTGTGTACAATTTTAATATATCTGTTTGTTACCTTTTGATCCTTAAACTATTGAACAGGTATCGCCAAAATTTATAAGGATATAGATTGCATTATAGAGACGTCCATAGGTTTACCATCTGCGAGTACAGTCGTAAGCAAAACACAAAAAATAAATATTAATTAAATAGTACATAAGAATGTAATATAAGACTAATTTTTCACATATCTATAGTTTAGGTAATGTGGGAGAGTCATATAATAATCCTCTTTTGAGAAGATCAATGCCCAGACTAAATTCATGGAAAACTATTTAAGAGTAAATCTTCTTACGCATTACTTTTTACCTAAAAGTAGAAGCCTGTTACTAGTTGATATAAGCCAATAGGAGAATTAATATGGCAACAGTGTGGAAAGTTTTTGGTAGTGAAAAATGTGAAAAGTTTTTAGCTTTTAGATGGAAATTTTAGGATAGAACTTTTCTATGCTAAGCGGATTTTGTCCATTGTGTGAGGCTGATTCAAACGAGAACAATTAAAAATTGTTTCAAATAAAACGTGCATAACAATAGCATTTAGTTCAATGAAGCTGGGCATAAAAATAACTCGACAGTTTATTTTTTCAGTGGTATATCGTTTAGAATTCATTTGAATTTTATTGGGAATGACGAGATACAATTTTTGTGTAGTGAATTTTTAGTGGGTAAATAAAAATTAACCTCAATGGATTTAGTATTATATATCTTCATCAGTTAGATGGACTTTTTTTAGTTATAAAACTAAAAACCGTTTATTTTCTGTTATGCTTTTATCTGTAGTTTTCTATATACACAGTATAAAATGACAATTTGGATTAGTATTCTATCAAATTACTATAGCAGTTAAAATTGTTTTGTATTCTCTTTGGCGTTCAATACTTAACAAAAATCATGATAAAATCATGATAGAATCTGTATACATCTGATATTATATCTGATATTAATGTTTTATATATATTTCTAAAAATGTCCTTTATAATAAGCACAGCACACCCGTCCCGCGTTGTTTGAAAATTGCCTCTTCGACTTTATGGGATTACAAGTTTGAAAAAAAAATTACGTCAATTGATAGCTCGATATTAAAATTTTGTCCCCAATTTTCCACATTTCCGGGTAACTTTTCCAATGTTTTCCTTTAATACCTACTCGGACAAATATTTAAAAAAAATCACCAAATCCTCCTATATGTTTTTCTTTTCAAATGACTTATCAAAGAACAGTGTTTTATTTTTATTTACATATTGTATTGATAGTAATACAATATATGTAATTAGATATCTGTTTAATTAATTTCTCCAAAAAAAAAAACTTGAAAAAATATATTATATTATCTAATAAACTCTTGCCTACTTTGTTCATAAAATATTGTAAAAATAATATAGCATCGCTTAAAAAATATTATTTTTCATAATTTGAAATTCGCGTTTGCTTCAAATAGTCATAAAAATTGTCTTAATCTTAACTTTAAAGACCTACTTAAGGGATAGCCCATACGCTTCAGTGGACTCGAAATTGTAACATGTATGAGATGCCACCTGTATATTTTTATTTTTTCGTAATCTGACAACTTAGCGGTTCAATTGAGATACTTATTTTCAAATTAAAGCCTTATAACCCCAATATTCTTCGATTATATGACATGCGGATAGATCGACATGACGAAATTATAAGTTTCCCCTATTTTGCCTTTAACTACGGCTATGAAACCTTAAAAATGTATGGAAATGACATATGATTATTCTTGGACAAAGCACTGTAAAAGATATTCCAATTTCTATAAAAATTAAAAAAAAATCTATTAGTAAACTATTGTACAAGAGTGGCTGGTTTCTATTTAATAAAAACATAATATTGTGCGAGAAGACCTTTAAAATATTACCTAGTATAGAGTATATTGCCCATTGCGAATTAACATAAAATATAATAATTATACATATGTACCTATCTCACTAAATATTTGTGTTTTAGTTGCTCCATTCTCAGTTTCATTACTGAATCGGCCTCAACAATTGCTCGCGCGGTCTGCGGCGACATTGCGCTGTGTGGCTGAGGGTAGTCGACCACCAGCTCAGATCACTTGGTATAAGGACAATCGAAGTTTTGAAAAGGATAAAGTAAGTATATGGGGTTGGAACCAAGGAATAGTTATGAATGTGGAGTAGGTTTTATTTGTAACAAAGTCTAAAAGTTATTGGACAATGTATGAAGTATTGGAGGGTCAAAAGGAATGGGAAATACATAGTAGAAGTATGCGTGAAGTCATATAAGCTAAGCCCATAATTTCTGTGTCCTATTTCTTCAAAATATTTTTTTTATTTATTTAAACACCCTGCTTAAGCAAAACAAGGTGCAACTGTAATAAAAATATTTTACCACGCTAAATGCTGTAGGATAAATTCCTTTATTAGCGAATGTGTGTATTTATCACATTGTTACCAGCACTAAAAAGTACTAAGTCATTTTTATCTTCTATCTATTCTATTTCATTAAAGTGAGCTATCAATATTATTGAAATATACATTTAATTTAACATCTTATTATAATAAACGCCGCGGTTATTTCTAATTTGCCATTTAATTGCCAATTAACGGATAATTTAACAAATTATTATTTGACTGTAATTATTGTTGTTATTGAAAATGAATTAAAGGACGAATAATTAATTTTTAGTAAAAACGAAAAATAGTGAATATATTTTTTTTAGGTAAGCGAGCATCAAAATGAAACTTGGACTGTAAGTACACTCATCTTCACACCAGCGCCTGAAGACCACGGTACGACTATAAAATGCGTTGCTTCAAATTCAGCGTTACCTGGAAGATCTATTGATGATCAAGTGAAACTAAATGTAGTATGTAAGTATTATTTTAATATTATAATATATTACCTATTTAAAAAAATAAGTAAAAGATTACCACTTGCCTAAGGGCGAAGGAAATTATCGTTACAAAACTTGCATGCCTGAGAGAACCTAACTAGTTAAAAGACTTATGAAGTTCGCTAATCCGCATTTGGCCCGCGTGGTGGACTATACCCTGACTCCCCTAGCTTTGAAGCGAATCCCATACCCAGCTGTGGGACGTAAAAATGGGCTTTATTCATAATATATACAATGTACATTACACACACACACACAGTTTTTTTTTCATTTTTGTTATTTATTAAAAAAAACTGTGCTAAATTTTTTTATGTTACTTGTTGTTTGTACTATTATCATTGTGTTGTCATAAACCTGTCATTAATTATATAGGGATGACACTGGCTCCTGCAACACAGTTTTTAACGAGCACAGGGACTAGGGAAATCTTTATCACCTGTGTATTATGTAAATATAAAATTATGTCAATAAATAATTTTATTATTACTGTTTCAGTGCTTACTTTAAGCGGAATTTGTATGCACTACTTTCACAACTGTCAGGCATGGGTATTACAATGCTGAACGATCGTAGTCTTCTGGATATTATTCTTTACTCCACTAGCACAAAAATAGAGAAATATAACTAAACTATTTTCTCATCTTAAATAAATTTCCAAGAAATTGGATTCGTATTTTATCAAGACGTTGGAAACTTTTGTTTTCATAAAAAGTGTTTAAAGTTATTTTTATCTCATAACGGCTGAAGGAGCTACAACAAATATAAAGTTAAAAGATAAAAGGTGGATTGATATATTTTTCCTGTTATGCCGTATTTAGTCGAAAGTCTGACGACACGTTTGGCTCAGTTTGTAGTGACCCTACTTTCTGTGCCAGCGGTCGCGGGTTCGAGTCTTGCTGGGGGCATTCATTTGTGTGATGACGAAAGTTTGTACTTCAGTCATGGGTATTTATATTTATATTATGTATGTATTTAAAGTTATATATGTATAGTGTATCAACTATCTAGTATCCATAACACTAGCCTCGTAGCTTACCATGGAACTAGACGGTGCTGTGTCTTAATGTCATAAAAAAATTGAAATAACAATTGAATTTGAATAATGAAACTAATGCAGTATGCCCAATGAGACGGTTACGACGTGATTGATAATTGCAATATTTAATTCACACACAAAGTGTGTTTGTTATAGGGCGGAAAAAAATCTATATTCACCCACTGCTAGGTACGTGAGCCGTTAAAAAGGGTGAATACAAATTAAACGACATTTTAAAAGTCTCTTTGAATACAATGTATTTTGCCATGATTAGTTTATTACAAGCCATATTTCTTTGTACACAACTATACGACAGTGAAATTTTTTTTCTTAAAATTAATTTATTTAGTATTTATTTAGGTATATAATTTAATAATACCTACGTAAAAATATTTTTGTAACAGTACAATATTAATACAAATTTTAATATAACGAATTGTACAATAATATATAATAATAATATACTTAAAATTGTGTCTGAATAAATTGACTGTAAGTGTATGTCCACAAAGCATTATGTTTCCACTCCACTCGGCCGACACAAACGTTTAAATCGACGTAGAATTGTAGCGATTCACATAATTACAGCCTCGATTACATTACACGCCCACTTGCGGTAATCTGACATCAATACTCAATTGTGGCTTCTAATGTTAAATTACCTTGCTTTATATAAATAGCACTGTAAACATGATAACCGAGCTAATTTGAGTTAACAAACTTTAATAACTTAGTATTGTACAAACACTATGTGTTTGTTACAATTTTTTCCAAAATAGTATTCGTATCGTATTTATATGCAGCCCTTTTTAACGCCCTACTGCTGGACACGGGCCTCTCTTTACTACATGGGGGATTAGGCTATAGTTCACTACGATGACTAAGTAAGGTTAGGCAGACTTCACTCATCTCTTTCGAAAATTTGCTGGGTTTCCTCAGACATGTAGATTTCTTCACGATGTTTTCCTTCACCACAAGACAAGTGGTAATCATGTTGGAAATGATTCGTACATGAAAATCATCACTCGGTTTCCCAAGCGAGCGCGTTACCACTGGGCTACCACTGCCTCCAAATCTTTATCTACTGAACTATTTTTTTCTTCTCAGTAAACAGCATAATTATTATCCCAAACGTATATAGTATTTTCAAGAAGAAAAAATTAAATATGTAGTAGTAGTCCCCATTATTTCAACATTTCTTAAGGAGCTTCTTAATAATCGAAACCTAATATAATCATCATCATCATAAGTCCTTTTTAGTCCCCTGTTGAATATAGGCACTTCCTAGGGTGAGCCGTTCAACGCCATCTTGAGCTTTGCGCATCCAATCTGGTTAATAAATTTTATTAAATTATTTACGTATAATACAATTTGCATTATTAAAATAACTTCATATGAGAAGTAAAACCATGAGGTTCTTAATGAATATGCTATTGGATATTCAATAAATATTTTCTAAAATACGATGGAAGATTTAATTACACCGCTCGCGAGCCATCGTCCGATCAAAGAGGAGCACATCAAACGTGTTAGCACAGCGCTTGTTATTTTCATAAGCAAATTATTGCCCTTCACGCACCAGTTCACGACGTATATAAATTTTATAATTACATAGTGTATAGATACTTCACACTACTAAGATAATAGTGATATAATATAATGCTTTTTACTCTTCACGCTAAGTATCTGTTTTAGTTGTTTCAACTAGAAGAAACAAGCACACACGTACACATACACTCAAACATTAGCAATTATAAAAGTAGTTCGATAAAAAAAAAATCGGTATTTACTTTTTGATATAATGTTAATGATCCTAAAAACCACTTTCATAGTTAGTGTTCGATATGGAATGGTGCGATTTAGCTACAACACTGATGAATGAATTTATTTCCGTTAAGGGTAAATGTTTCTGGCTTGGTTAAAATGTAGTGTCGATACAAAACTGCCACTCGTTTCAATACAGCTAAAAATAATAAAAAAAAAATTTCAACTATTTTAATCATATGGATGATGTTGGTTTTTAAAATCTACTATACTCATACATATCTTAAAAAACAATTGAAAGAACGAATTGATATTAAACCTTAAGTGGATATATTTAAATCCAATGTTACTCGAGTAGAAAATTGCAGTATGCGATGTTAGATTCAATTTATACGGATCACGAGCAATCGACTCTATCAAAGAGAAGGACGTCAAACGTAGTGGCCTGGTGTGTAATTGTCATACACGGATCGCACGGCATTACGCCTTTATACGTTACAAATAGTTGATAGAAATCAGTGCGACAATTCAACGATTTTGCTCCTTTAAATTGTCAATTAGTTTTAAATAACTCTTTTCTTCGAACAAAGTCTGAAATGCTAGTCGAGCAAATTCAATTTTTATCTGAAAATACTATTTTATATTTCAATTGTTTTTCCCTGACTCTCATATTTAAGTTTTTTGTTTTGCGGAGATATGGCTTTTAATGTGACAGTTCTCAACGTTGCACTTTTGTTATAAGTGACGCAGTTAATTAACATTTATATAAGCACTAGCGTACATATATATATACTAGCATTTATATCGCTTCGCTTGAGTGCATACTTTATAATATTATTAACGGCTAACCCTCGCTTCGCTTGGGTTCGTTTCTAGTGAAAAACAAAAACAAATCTATCATCATACCAAATTTCGTCAAAATCCCTCCAGTGGTTTTTCCGTGATGCGATCACAGGCAGACAAAATTTTTAAAAACCATAGATTCGGCCTCTGTATCGATAATAATGACTATTTCAATAAGATTTTCCAAAAAATATTTAATGTACAGATTCGACTCACAGAAGAAGGTTAGATATACAGGTAGCGCCAATTTTTTTACTAATAGTACTCCATGTGTTAGTTTAAATAGGTTACACAGCCTATCAACTACCACAAAATTTCATCCAAACCCGTCCAGCTGTTTCAGCGTGGAGTAACAAACATACACACACAAACGCACACATACAAAAACTAACACAATACACACATATATTATACAAACTTATGCATTTATAATAGTAGTGTAACAAAATGTCCTTTGCGTGTTTCAAATTAGCTTTGTACCCATAAGGTAGCGCTCACTGTACTACCCCCCCAACGTGCGTTCACCTTGTCGTGGTGGGGGGGCTCAGTAGTGCCCGGCAATCCAACCGGGCGCGAAGCTAAGAAACGCACAGGGAGGTTGCCCACTTCGGTGGGCGGTGGGAGGTGGCCCTCTTCGGGGGGCGGTGTACCATGCGGGTTGCTCCTGGTACTTCTCTGATAGCAGAGTGGACTGTGGAGCAACCCCATGGTTGTGGTGGTCTGCTTCGGCAGACCTGCCGTCGGGGCGTCGTAGTTGAATGCGTAAGCGATCCTGCGACGCCCCATTAAGACGGGGGAAGGTTTTGTTGGGTTTTAGTGGGTAGCACTGGCTGTATTACGTTGGTGAGTCCCACACGTCGTGCGTAAATGCATTTCCCAACGTTAAAAAAAAAAAAAAAAGCGCTCACTGTACTAAGACAATATATCTTTTTCTTTTGCCAGTTCTTCTCAGGTTTCTTCTAGGTAGGTAGACTCATGACGTTTAGTAAAAACTTGTAATAATTTAATGCTGAATAAAATATTTTGAATTTAAATATGTCTGTATATAATTCTGTGAACCTTTGCGACAATAATTATCGACGTCGCAAAGGCTCACAGCATGATAAAAAACGTTTTCTCTCTATCACGTAGGCGGTTATATTAGTATCCGAATAGTACCTATTTCTATAATAACTTAGAAATTTTATAATATGTTAATACAAAATATATCTTAACAACCTTAAAATTTACTTTTAAGAATTTTCATGTCGACATAATAATAACAATAATAAATATGTTGGGACATTAACACACAACACCATCTAGTTCCATGCTAAGCTACGAGGCTTGTGTTA